TCACTTAATGCCTCATATTAATAATATAATACGACATTTCATTTTGTCAGCCTTGCATTAATCAACCACCATTCTACTTGTGGCATGATTGTTATTGTTGATGCTGCATTTTGCACATTTCTCCATCTCTCTGACTATGAGCATCTTTTTCCCTCTGTGGCATCGTGCGGCAGGGTTGTGGAGCATAAATGAACTAATTTTCCTGGATATAGAGAACACTGCAATCAAGGAAAGGGGAAGTGCAGCAAGCGGCAGATGGAAGGAGCTAATCATTGTTATGAAATAGAGATGACCTCTAACTATCTCCTGGCTGCTAATGTACCGTAGCTACACATGTTTGCCCGCTTCTTTGCCATGTACCCCTTCTCTCCTTCTTCCTCCTTTGCCTGTTTGTTGTTGTGGTGATGATGAACCTCTTCAGGAAGGTCTGGAATGCAACCCTCTTTCTTTTTTTTATGTTGAAACAGAAAAGATTGGAGTTGTCAAACAAAGCCTAGTGTCACATAGAGAACGGCAGCTGCCTGCAGTGGGTAATCAGTAGAGCTTTCTACAAATTAACAGCATTCAGCTCTGAAGCACGGCGCACTGCAGGTTTTCAGATGTGGGCTTTTGAAAATTAGATCTCAGTGACTGAAATACGGAATAATTTGCAATTCCGTTTTTGTTCACGTTTTTTATTTATTTGATCCGCTTTGTGTAAGGTGTCATGGCTGAGATTGCCTGGTCATCCTGACGCTGTAAACTAATACTGCGGATGCTCATTTTGAACAGAGTAATATCAGTCTAAATTTCATTAACTGCATGCTGAATCTCTGAATCTGTGTGCCTGGGTTCTGATGGGCTCTGATTTTGATTCTTTGAATGCTCTTTTCAATGCACAGGTTTAAAGATGCATAACTGACCATATGCGTGTAGCATGAACATACACACGCATATGCTGTCATCACACAGTGTTGCCAGGGTAAGTAGACTTTGCTGCGGCGAATGGTGTGTCGAAGTACAATTTTATATATATGGAGCAATGTTTTGCTGCCGGTATAGAGTTTCTGTTTTTCCGTTTGATATAATCGAAGTAAAAAATGTGATGCTCATTTTGAATCTTTACACACCAAAGCCACCAGCCTCTTCCAGCACATTTATCTAATGTATGCAAATGATCTTGCTGTGCTTAATGAAGGCACCATTAATCACTATAACGATGGTCTTTTTTAACCAGGGTAATCATGCGCACGCACACATATACACACACACACGCACATTTTCATATGCACACACGTGCATATGTGCTTACACACTCACCCATTCTCACACACACGTACACACTAACACACACACACACACACACACACACACAGGAAGATGCCTCATCACCAGCAACACGTTGATGACAAATACACAAAATCACAAAAATAAACCATTACCAAACCATTTCACCAGAAATGTTACTATGTATGATAGCCTCTCGGTTATTAATAACAGTGTTTTGAATTCATTTTGTCCCCGTACTTTTATGTGTTAAATTTAATGTAATTTGCAACTGGTCATCTGGCTGGCTAAGTAATAACCTCAAATTCTGTTATTCCATTTAATAACACGCCGATAAGATGCATCAAAATATGTTAACACGTCAATCATATTTATATAATAAATTCAGCTAATTAGTTCCACTAGTTTCAACAAATAATTTATGGTCCAGCAGCTTTATGCAAACAGCAGATAACACTGTTGTGAGTCTAAATGGGCAGTGGAAAACACAGTCATTTTGTGTGCTGTATAATAACAACAAAACACTGGACAGACGTCTTTGAACTTGTGTAAGAATTCAAAGCAAAAAACTGAAAAACATTTTTGAAGCCCAACTCCTAACGGACGTATTTCACCGCTTATCCTCGCCCTGCATTTGCATACAGTTGACGGAAACCCCTGGGTACAGTCAGCAGCATGACAGTAGGTTATGAAGGCTTCCGGGAGGCTCTGGGGTGTGGATCTGAGCCAGTTTGAAGGGGAGCCGAACCAATGAAGAGCCCACAGCGGATTAGACACCCACAGCTTCATGTCGCTTTAATGCGGCGAGTCAGGGATTTTCTTACAACGCCTTTGCCTAAACGCTCAGGGTTTTCTCATGCCCCTTTTTCTCTCTCATTCCCTTCCCCTTGAAGTAATGTTCTCTTTTAAATGGCAGAGTAATGTTGTCTCCAGTGCAAAATATCCAGTCTATCCACAGTGTTCCTGCTCCTGTGTTAATGTGACTTGTCAGCTGTTTATTGGAATTGAATTAGATTGATAGTTAAGATCAAATGTCATTTTCAAATCTGTCATCTTACATAACTGTGCAGTACACCTCCTAAGGGTGTTAAGAAAATAATCTTTCCTTTACAAGGATGTTATATTATAAGTTTAAAACTGTAGAACTGTAGGTGTAATGCCTATTTGTTAATTTACTATGAAAGTTAAATTCATCATTACGGTGCAAATATAAACGTTAAATGCAAATACTGCAGATGCAAACAGGATTCACAAAATACAACAAACAAAATATATTAACCACATAAACACACACTCACACATGCATGCACACACACAAACACCTCAAATTCCCTTGATAACAATCTGACTGGCAGAGGCTAAAGACAGAGTAGGCGTTCGTAATTGAACAAACATAACAATGTAAATATTTACTAATACTATCCATTGGGGATACAGGCAGAATCCCACAATTGATTTGCTCTGTTTCTGCCCTTTTGCTCTATTCCTTTCACACACACACACACACACACACACACACACACACACACACTGACACACAGATTTACACATACTAACTACCACTCTGTTCTTTTTTTCCCTGTTTCTTTTCTTGCTATTATTCTTGCCTGTGTTCATTAAAGAGATGGAGATATATTGGTCTGTCTATCCTCTTACCAGGGGTGACCTGTAGCCCATCTGGGCTGGCGATGACGGGAGATCCCTGGGAAATAGCGGCGAGCGCGTCTCGGGGACGGAGCCCACGCCACTGGCTGCTAGTCCCGAGAGCTGCCCGTACCTCGCCATCATCTTGAGATGCTGCTCACAGAACACACACACTCATACACAGACACAGGAGGAGAGGGGAGGAGAGAGAGAGAGAGAGAGAGAGAGAGAGAGAGAGAGAGAGAGAGAGAGGAAAAAAAGAGAGAGGGACGGGGTGTGAGAGAAGGGAAGGAGAACAGATAACAGCAGGTAGGAAGGACGGTGAGAATGGTAAAGGACAGAAGAGGGAGTGGGGCGGGGGTGGGTGGGGGTGGGGTTGGGGGGACACATGAAGAAAGAGGAGGTAGAGGGGGATTACAGAACACTTTGCTCTCACACAAATGCATGTGTGAACACACACGCACATACAGGCGTACACACTCTCACTTGCAGACATACTGTACGTGCACATAAAGGCACACATACAATTTTAGCCCCAGGTGGGCAATTTCACAACCAAGCCTATGTTGGATTGGTTTGATAGCTACCTTGGTTGTATTACAATAACGGGGATATTCAGTCTAGGCACTAGCTCTCCATTTATTATTACAAGCCAGGTTGAGTGTAAGAAGCGTAGCAGTTCCTTTTTCTCCGTACCAACTATCGTACCCGGAAAATATCATAGCTGCTGTTATCAGTCATCCCCTCTGTCTTCTGGCTATGAGCATACAGAAGTGTACAGACACGCACATGCACGGACATACGATAACACACATGACAGAATGGTTGGCAGCAGACACACACAGGTGAGGTGTGAAGAAAGAAGCAAATCCAAATCTCTTTACCTCATTGCTCAACAAAGCGGCGTTGAGTGTTCGGCTTATTTCGAACATGTTCAGATTCGGTGCTTTTTTTTTCGTTCTGTCCTTTTATTTTCAGATTCTCTTCAGTTCTTTGCTCCCCTTTTTCTTGTCTACGGTTGGGATTCAGTCCCGGTAACACAAAAAAGAAAGAAAGAAAGAAAGAAAGAAAGAAAGAAAAAATGAAATCAATTGAAAAAAGAGGGGGATAAAAAAATCCTCTTTAATTTTCTGATTTCTGGAGTTGTGATCTTTCAGCGCTCTATTTTTTCTTGTTGATGCACCTCTGCTGGCTGTGGCTGTAGTGGTGGCGTTTGTGCCCAGGGTCTCCGCACACGTCTAAGGAGTCAATATGCTGTTTTTTTTTAAATCTCCCCAGAGTCAGCACATTAAAACAGGCAGTCAGGCAGTCGATGGGTCGGTGGGTCGGGCTGGCGGGCTGGCTGGCTCCCTTATCTGTCCCCCGCACACTGGCTCACACAATACGCTCCGATCCTCACACTGCTCGCTAGCAGATTAGCCTGTCCCACAACATAGCACTTAGTTTAAACTCCCCTCCCTTTTGCTCTCTCTCTCTCCTCTCTCTCTCTCTCTGTATCACTCCCTCTGGCTCTCTCCTTTGCTCTCCCTCCCTCTGTCGCTCTACCTCTCTCACTCCATCTCTCTCTGCATCACTCTCTCTCTCTCTCTCTCTTTCTCCCATTGCTCACGCATTGATGCAGCTACAGTTCGCTGTGCTACCACAAGGTGGGAAGACTGTTCTAGCAACAGCGACACCATCGCCGCCACATCCCTTCCTCTCCGTGCCACTCCTATCTTTTACATTTTTCCTCACTTCTCCTTTTTCGTGTGTGTCTGTGACACACAGCTACAGTATAGATGGTAAAGGAACGTTTGCGCTTATAGCAGCTCTCACTCCCTGTCCAGATCAAACATACAACCAGGGGTAAATGGATTGGTTAGGGGGTGTGAGGACTAATATTGTGCGGTCCTGTTATCTAATTATGGTTCTTACAAAAACAGGTTGTAGATTTAAGTGTGAAAAGGGACTATCAAAGACTTTTTGGAAGCACTTCCTTGGAGGTATTTTTGTGACTGGTACATGTAAAGTAATGGAATGTAATAAAAGATGAACATTATCAAGAGACCTCAAGAGAGTGGAAATGAATGGTACCTCTTAGTAATAGGCAGCAGAGGGGAAAAAAGTGAGGGTTGGGCTGATGTGAGCATCAAGGTCAGGTGGTTGTCCTTTTCCTCAGCAGGGTGTGGCACAGAGATGACGAAGCAGCTAGTCACAGGCATGGCAGGAGATCCCAACTACAGAACAAATAAACAAGGGAAAAAAAAAAGATAAGGGAGACTTGTGCCAAGGATATGATTCACCACATTCTTGGTTTCAGTCGATAGCACCTGAGAGATTTCAAAGTATGACTCAGAGTTTACTGTAGCTGCATCTAGTTTATGCAAAAAAGGCAAAATGTTTATGAAATTGAAGACTACGGTTTTAGAGAAAATAACTATATAATAAATGGTGCTGAAGGTGTGATTGGTATCACCGTTATTTTCACTAATGCTAATCTTAGTGGTGCCTTATTCGTGGCTCCAGTAACATGGCAATGGATTTATTCCCAGTGCTTTGAATGTGCTTTTTGCTGTCTTGGATCAGAGTGGGGCTAGCGGCCAGTTAATAGCAGCCTATTGACACTGGACCATCTGTTTAGGTGGACGCTGTCCAGCAAAGCAGGGAGGGAGGGAGAAAGGGACAGAGAGACGGAGGAAGCGACAGATAAAGAGAGAGGAGAGGGTGACGATTAATGGACGAGAGAAGGGGTAACGGCAAGGTACAAAGCAGAGGAAGTGTTAGCAAACTGTTAACGGTTTATGTAAAACAAAAAATATGTAGAAAGACTCACACTTGGATGCGGCTTATCATACTGTTTACATGTTTTAAATTAGCAGATTTTCTCTTTACATTTTCATCAGTAGCAGGGAATGTGAAAGTATCATCAACGACATCACTGTGTTATAGCACTGTACTGTCTTGGCTTCAGTTCCATTTTTTTCCCTCAGAAAAGGGCTGCTAGCCACATCCCTGTTCTGTAAAGCCCGTGGTCTCTGGGGATGGCTGGTCCGGCAGAGCCTGGGGGGGAGCTGTCAGTTGAATCATCCAGAGTGAGGGCTGATTCCTCAGTCAGCTGCCTCTCAAGCCTTCCTCTCTGACCAAGCCTCACTCCCCTGAGCCCCCTGATTGCTGTCACCATAGTGATTCTCTGTGTACTGCCGGCTAGTCTCTGCACCCCTCCCGCCCCTTAAACACCCCAGCCTGCCTCTCGCAACCACCCGTCGCCAACTCGCTGCCACTTGTGTTTTGATTTTTGCATGACTTCCTCCTTCATTGATGATGGACTTTATGTGTGGAAGGCCTTAGCTGAGCAGAGTAAAAAGGGTTTCCCTGTACTTGCTGGAATACAAATACAAAAACATAGATTTGCTCCCTCAGCACACACACATAAACACATCAAGCTTCAGGCTGGAAACATAAACAAGAAATTCTTTGTGTCTTCTTTTTTCCCCTCTTTCAGTTATGGTACTGAGCTACAAGCACTGACTTATTTGATCATTTTACAGTTTAGAAGAAAAAGTATCTCTCTAAGAGAATGAAAAGCAAGGCTTAAAAATACCTTTGCTGTGCCAAAGCTTCTGTTTACCCAAGGGATTTCTGATATGCTCTGCGCGGGATTGTGATGGTGCGGTGAGTCCTATAGTCACTAGCCACCCACGCTTAAAATAGCCACGATTTCTTAATGTTACTGTAGATCCTGTATTAATCTATGACAGGAATATGTATACGTGAAGCACATTCATATGTTCAGATATCGTTAGAGGTCAAATCTGTTTTGATAAGCATGTAGAAATATACTCTCCTGAGAGATAATTAATATTTGAGAGAACACAGTGTGGACTGTACTCCTCTTTCATGTGATTCAGTTTTCCAGTGATGGATGTATTCATTAAATCATTGCTGCAGTTTGCAAACATCATGACAAGAATCGCACTGCATGCATGTAGAGTGGTACTTGGATGGAAAGAAGAGAGGTTATTGTTGAAAGTGTTGCTATTTTTTCTCCTCCTTCAGACATGTTTTAATGGAGGACACATCAATATAGAATATGGAGCTTTAAAAGAAAAGAAAAGCCATCAAGAAAAAAAAAGACTTCATGCAATTCAGAGCTTTGCTGTAATAAACTCCTGTACATTTTATCATCATTAATGCACCACAGACTCTGGAGTTATGAAGTTTGAGTCTGACATTTGACATTCTACAAAACAAAAACACAACAATTGTTATTTTCAGGTGATTTACACCAATGAAAACATACCGGTGAATGTTATATTCAATTTCTGTTATGTATTACTTGTTATCAGTGGAATAATATCAGAATCGTTGATCTTACTCAATTTGTTTCATAAGCCAGCAGCCAAGAATGAGTTCCAGCCAATAGATCAGGTTACAAACAGTATCTAAAGTGCTCCAACTCCGGCAGAGGCAAGCCAGAATCTTGTGGTAAATTCAACTACTCCTATGCAGTCTCCATTTGATAAGAGCTGAGAAACAAGGGAAACATGTAGCGTATCTAATTCATTCTTCTCATGCACCATAATTCAATTTCAATCTCCCTCTTGAAAATGAATGATTGTACCACCATAGAGCTCTTTAATTGGCATAGTGTTAAAGGAATGACATAGCATGGAGGACAGCTATTCAATTTTCAATTTTAACGAAATATTACACAGCAGCTCTGTATTCTCTTCCTGTCATCTGAGAAATAATCAGTCCAACCTATCTACTCAGCAGCCTGTTGATGCTTGCCATCAAATACAGATCACACACAGAGAGAAATATTATTGCCCTCTCCCTGGTCTTATTCATTTGGTCCTGTTACACAAAGCTTATAACCTGAAAATTAGCAGCAGCCTGCATGCCTCTTGCTCCAGGAGTTTGTGCGGCTGCTCATTTGATGTACTTAATCAGGTGCAGCCTTTGTAATGGGAAAGGAATAGGGCCAGGCTTGATTGGCCTTGATGACATCTATGCTCCAATTGTCTAGAAAACCTCCAGCTTTAATCAATCTACAGGATAATTCAGAATCCCTTGCTTCTGCCTGCAATGATTGGCTTTTTTCTCTGAGAATACCATTAAAAATGCAGGTATGGCTGCAATAAGACTGAGGTGTGTACAATGTACTGATTACAGTTTACAGGTAGTGTAATATTATAGTTTAGCTTCGCCTGTAGAATGCAAATGTCAGATGTGTACTTATGTCGCACACTGGCATATGAAGTTTTCCCTGATTATAATAACAATATTTACAATTAATTCAGTCCATTTTGGGAATTAATTTTGATGTTCAGACAGGGAACGGATCAGAGCTATATATTTAGGACACGTGTTTTCTTGAGCCACGCTGACTGATTGAGACTAGAAATTAATGACTTTGATCAGCACTTAGCAGTTGATTTTGCTAATCTGTTTGCAGTTTGCGTCTGTTCTCATTCTGGTATGTTTGTGCGTAACGATTCAACAACTGAACTTGGCTCATCTTACCTATACGCACTGCATGTGTGCACTGGTGTCTTGTGCGCCTGCAGCGGTGTACGGATGGAGATGACAGCGCCTCTCCCGCTTCCTCCTGCTCCGTTGCCGTGGCAACACACAGAGCGCGTCCGCTGCTGTGTAACAGAATGGAAAGGAAGATGGAGGAGAACACTGTTAGAGACGTCGAGACTGGTGTGTAAATATGAGCCTTACCGGGCTTCCCCTTCGGTGCTATACAAGCGCAGGGAAGCGGATAATGCCCAGTTGTCTGACAGATAGTAGCTGCATGTTTCGGGCTTGCTGCGTGTCTTTATACCGACGCTAACGTAAAGTGTGCTAACCTTCTAGCTAGCAGGTACAGGAATGTAAACAATAGTCATGTCACTAGCTTGTTATGAACTAGCTTCACTGCTACAGACGTTTGCCAACCATTTAACTAACTGTACGCGGGCAGCTTGGGAAAATACACCTGCTGGCATGTTAACGTGAACCTCTTTAGCAGCAGTACAGGTGTATTGCTATGAGTGTCTGCTAGCTAGCTGTGTTACCTGCATTAGTGAGGGAGAGCTCCTCCAGTGAACTGCTGGGTTAAGTTAGCTATCTGTCGGTACCTGAACTACTTGGTCTTTGTCCGTTACTCTACATTAAAGCCACAATCCGCGAATAAATCCCAACAGTAGCGCTGTATTGATAAATACGTAACGCAGATTTGTACTTAAAAATAATGTGCAGGTCTTTAAATACAAAGATGAATACCAGGAACAAATCTAACTTTGTGATATTACACAAAACGTTTTTTCCAGTATTCACAATAATCCAAACACTACTGTGCTTCTGCCTCTAATGTGAATGTGTAAATTAACAAAGAGATCTTTAAATACAAAGTTGAATATTAGTTTGTGATCTTTTCTGTTGCTGCAGAGGATTTATTTAAATTTTTTTCAATTAAAGTATTTATCATCTGTATGTTTTAGAAATAACAATTTCACAAATGCATGCAAATGTAAACTTACACGCCTAACAACACAGAGTCAGAATTAATATCACCTCATTAAGGAGATAACCAACCAGCAGTTCAAGGCAAAGTCTGTGTTGAAATATATTGGCCTGTTCAAAAAAAGTGTATAACTAATAACTGTAACTAATACAAAAAGAAAATTCCTAAGAAAAGGTACAGCTTTTGCTTTTTTATTTATGCATAAACAGTGAAGAAAACCCCACATTAAAGCAGCGCTGTGTAAATTCAGTGTCCACCTGCTTAAGTTCAAATGTCATTTGTACTGCTAACAAAAAATAAAGATTCCTTTCAAACTTCTTTGTTATTTTATTTGTGTTACTCCATTTTACCCTGCAGATCACTGTTTATTTCTAGTTTAACATTTACAAAACTCAACATTAGAAAAACGATATGTATACATCAGTATTTCTAAGATGCAACATTTAACTTAATAATATGAACCCCTTTTTTAAATGTATTTACACATAATTTAGTGGTGGCTGAAGGTCTTGCATGGTACGTTCTTACTTCAAGGTCAACAATCTAGTTCTGTGTTATGAGATACTCACTTATGGATTAGCTACAGGCTAAGGGCTTACTCCCAAAAAACTTATTTGGCACATTTTACACAATGCCTTTGAATAAAATGAGACTCATATTATTGCACTTGTTCTTCAGGCAGTGAAACTGGAGGAGAGGATGCCTTGGTGGGGAATGTGAACAAAATGATGGTGAGCCCACCAGGTTACTCAGGAGCTCCGCGAAAAGGACATCTGGTTTTTGATGCTTGCTTTGAGAGTGGTGAGTAATAAACTTTAGAAATGCTGTATCAGTAAAATATGTGTAACATACCCAATTGCAAACATAAAAAAAGCAGTTCCCAAGCAAATATGACCCTAACTGTTCCCACAGTCACAGTTATTTTCACACGGGACCCTTTATTTTGATTGCTATACAAATTTGCAGCATCTGTTTTCTTATCTCATTTAAAAAAAAAAACTGCATTCACAACTAGAATCCATCCCATCCTCTCAGTACCTGATACAGAAACTCTGTCATACTGCTTTGCTTCAACAAAACTAACATTTCAATGCCACCTACTCCAGCCTGAAGTTTCTACCAAACACCTCCACTTTGTTCAAAATACCTCAGCTAGAAATCTCATTACAGGTAGATCAAATACATTTGACCACAGTATACAAATTCGAGCCTCATTATATTGGCGGACTATTCAAACCAGAACTGACATCAAGGTCCTTTTTTTGAATTTCAAATTTTTGTATGGATTAGCACCATCTTATTTATCCAGCCGTATTAGGCTATGTTCCAGTCCACAGTCTCTGTTCATTAGATGTGATGTATTTATAAAGTCTGAGAATAAACAAGAAATCAGTTGGATGTACATACAGTTTTCTTATACCAGGCTTCTTATCTTTCCCATTTTCATCAAGATATAAGCCCCAAATAACCCTACTAATACTACCAATAAAAATAATAATAAAAATAATAATAATAATTGTATTTACAGTCTGTATCATATTTAATAGAAAAGGTTTTGGGTATAGCAACTGTGAGTTGGGGGATCTGAGAGCTTTATGAAGACCATGACCAAGACCAAGATCACATGAAGATTTATAGTCAAGTCCTAGGATTTTAAGATCTTTATTACTTTATAACTAGAAGCCAGCACAGGGTTGTAAAAACAGATGCTTTTTGAGACTTTCTATCTATATTCTCCCTGTGTTACGGCATAATCCGATCTGAAAAACAACAATAACCATTTTGCTGTTCATGTGTATAGTACTTATTGTATATACTGTATGTGTCTGTATCTGGACATGTACAGGCTACAGGAATGGTGTTCATTTGCTCATTTTTGATATATCAGTATTGCAGATATACTCTGTCTGTGCATTATGCAGTATATACTCTATTACAGTAATATCCATATTGACTTTTTGTTGTTATTACGTGGACGCTGACCAACAAACTTTGCCATGCCTAGAACCACACCGCCAGCGTGGCTAAAAAGATAAATATATTAAGCATACTTGAAAAGGTGATCGACCTGTTACCTTCACCAACTCTTTTTGGGAGTAAGACATACAATAAGATTAAGTTAATGTTGTTTGTTAATGGCCTTTGTTTGCTGCCTTTTTCTGACAGCTGAATGGATGAAAATAAAGTACTTTCTCACCACTGACAAGGTCAGTTGGTTAGACCCACACACAGGCATGCGCTCAAGCACACAAGTAGGCAGAGTAAATCAGGGAATCAGTGGGTCTCTCTGGGACGGAATTTCTGTGTGGAGATTAGGTTCAGATGGCACTCAGATTTCATATTTCCACAGACAAGCCCATTTTTTTCCTGCAGACTGAGATGAGCTTTAACTTCACCCTGTTTACTTTCTGATGTCTGGCCTTGGTGTCATTGTCAGTGTTATCCTCCAAAGTTGATTTTTACTATTATGTTGTCTCTGATACACTTGATTTTCAAAGTGTTAGAGGTCAGCTGATCACAAGTAAATACATTTTTTTTCCCTTTTTAAATATAGATAGAGTTTTTTTTGGGGGGGCGGTTGCCTTTACTTGGCAGGGCAGCTCAAGATAGACAGAAAAAGAGGGAGGGAGAAAGGGGATGACATGCAGCAAAGTGCATTCATAAGAGGAAAACTAATCTTGTATAGGCAAATATAGTGATACAAATAATAGGGAACCTAATCCACAGTTTTGTACACAGTGGACAAGAGGCATGTGAAGGTGAGTACATAGATTTAGTACTGTGTGTAAAGATCTAAACATATTACATTAGGAGGATTGTGCTGAGATATCAGTGTGATGATTGGCCTTTTTATAAATTTGCCTTTTTTCCCAGATGACATGGCCAGAGGAGCTCAGACATTGATTAATGGGCGCTGAGCTCCCACACTGAGATCAGCTAACATACCAGTGTCTCTGGCTCCGGATGTATCTCCTGAATGATTTATGGAATTGATATTAATCTCTTTCCAGTAAATGCATTACTAAAGTTAGAATGGGGGATGAATTGATGTTTGCCAGCTAATGTCAAATTAATGCCCTGTTGCTGTTTCATTTAAGCATCACTGATTTTGTTCGCCTTACTTAAAGTGAGCCTTAATATTAGTTTATAATAGTTCTTTCACAGTATACTCTGTGTGTATGCCTGTTGAACTCGTACCAAGCAATTATCATCCTCTGATAGTTTTCTATTTATTGCAAACCTCTCCAATGAAGTTATTCTTTCTTAAACCTGCACACCCTCTGTGGCCTTTAAAAGTGTCTAGAAGTGCAAAAAAAGTATTGAGAAGTGCGTACAAACTACTGGACTACTATCATTTTAGTGTAGTATGGTATGATCACCTGTCAGTGGTCATAATGTTATGGCTGATCGGTGTATTTTGTAAAGGTTGCAACTTGCTTCCCCCTCCCCTTCCAAGTACGAAGGAGAAACTACAGTGGCTGCGAAATGCATGAAAACGCCTCTCTCTAGAACCAGTAGTGCGTTTTCTGGGTATAATGATACATATAATGATAATTATACACTATAGAAAACATATATGAATATTATATTCCATTTCTAACAATAGAGCCTCCTAAATGTTACACAGTGGACCTTTTAACAACATAAAGAGCTGAACTATAAAATAAATTGGGATCTTAATAACCCCACTTGCTTGTATGCATGTTGGGCTAGCTTTATAAAAAGTATATTTTTATGTGATTTATGAGGATCTATCTTAGGTAAAAATCATTCACTATTGATTTCCTTTAAATACTATTGCTGTAACTCAAACAAGCTTGACATCGGTGAAACTGTTTTTCTTTTGCATTTTTAGTTATTTTTTAATGAAGTGAAAGACTTCTGACTTCAATGTTATATACAGTGTTTGTATTTGGATATCTACTTCATCATATAATTTCTAAACATTGGTGTTGCACTTAAATTTAGAGTACTTTCTAATTTTCAAGACAGTCCTTGGCTAAAGATTTGAACCCGATGTCTGCTGTTCCAGAGAAAACAGACACTTCAATTGTAAAGTCTGTTTACTTATTATTAAGTGTTATCAGAGGTTTAAGATTTTAGACAACATAATATTTCGAGGTTCATCTAACCAGGCACATGCCATATTGTTTATACAGTAGTTTTAGAGCCCTTATTCACACTTCATAGGACAGTGTGCATACCTGAAGTATCAGTAAGGCTTATAAAATGAGCTCCTGTTTCTCATAAATTCAGTCTGATATCTATGTTACCAATCACAGGAAGGAAATTGGAGACTAGTGTGTTAGCTCCTGCCACATGTATTGAATGTTGAAGAGGCATGTTTATTTCTTGGACCTATTGAATTGGTCTTTCATGACAGCCTAGGTCTCTTTAACTCCTCTCAATCCAGACTGAATGGCCAAAACACGTTACTTGAAGCAGACATTTTAATTTAAAATGTATGCAGACCTATAACTCAGCAATGTTGTGTGCCCTTTTTGCTTCCTTTGATCGACAGCTATCTGTTTCCCATGTACATTTTCATACAGCTCAGATTTTATTTTATTGCGTTAGTATAGCACAGAATAAAATCTAATTGGTT